TCCCTAGTCAATGCCAGGTACTTCTAGGGCCACAGTTGATCCTTGGGTCCATTCTTGTTCAGTGACTCCTTCTGCCCATCCTAGGAAAAATCTGGGAAACTGAAAGGAAGAACCAGAGGCTTTCTTAAGTCATTTAATCTAGAAATGATTCACTTGGACCAAACTCTTAACAAGGCATCAGTCTGTACAAATAAGATTCAGCCAGATCTGGTGGAGGCTTCAAAGCCTTTATACCGTGTGGCTATCACTACTGTATTAGGTGATACAGACTGTAGAACATTTTCATCATCACAATATATTCTACTGGATTGTCCTGTTCTAGAAACAGGGGTTGAAAAATAGGTTTATCTCCTTTGTCACTTCTGATTGATTGGCATTGGCTGTCTGGAGGATTGTGTAAAGAAGGTTCTGAGGCCATATCTAAGTGAGCCCCAAATGGTTTGATTATTTACTAGCAACGTATGTCCTAGGAAGACTGAGCTGGGTGGGTGGAGGTAGTCGTGGCATAGGTCCTGGATGTCTCATAGACAAAACCACAGAAGTAAGAATAGAATATTTAAAATAGAGGGTCAGTTGTTATTATTTAAAGAGACAGGTTATATTTTTAGCAGGAATCCTTTGGAAAGAAAGATGAGAAGCTTTAATAGTTTTGTTATTCTTTATAATGATCTCTCATTAAGTAGTGGTCCCTTTTGCTATTTTCAAAATAAATTAACAATGATGTTTTGCTTTTGTGTAGAAGGAAATCACAATAGCTACCCTTTTTTGGTTTATCCATGAAATAAGGAATTGATCTTACATGTAAAAACAAAACCCACCAGGAATCTAAAATTAGTTTCATGTTCATGCCACCTTTTTACTATACCTGCTAAGAAACAGAACTGATTGAGGATGGGTGTGGGGTTTTTTCCCACTCTTCATGCGCTCTGTTGAAGGATATTAACAACACGCATGTTGTTAACAAATGGGGAATAAAATTTAAGGCAAAGAAGGAAAAACTGGTATAGTTTGGTAAAGTCAATTCTTGTATAATCACTGTTGTCAGAATTTGAGGTATCTAATTATATTTTGAAAAATTTCTAATAATTAAGGATAATTTAGGATAACTGGGCTGTTTCCTACTAGTTTTAAAATGGGAAAATGGATTTTATTTTTTTTAACTATTTTTTTAAGATTTTATTTATTTATTTGTCAGAGAGAGAGAAAGAGTGAATGATCACAAGCAAGGAGAGCAGCAGAGGGAGAAGCAGACTCCCCACTAAGCAGGGAGCCTGATATGGGACTTGATCCCAGGACCCTGGGATCTTGGCCAGAGCTGAAGACAGCCACTTAACTGAGCCACCCAGGAGTCCCGGATTTTATTTTTTTTTAAAGATTTTATTTATTGTTAGAGAAAGAGATAGAATGAGAGCACAAGCAAGGGAAACAGCAGGCAGAAGCAAGCTCCCCACTGAGCAAGGAACCTAATGCGGGGCTCGATCCCAGGAACTCGGGATCGTGACCTGAGCCAAAGGCAGACACTTAAACTGACTGAGTTACCCAGACATCCCTAGAAAGTGGGATTTTAAAACAAGAGTACCACTTCTGCAACTATTATGTAACCTTGAGCAAATTAGTTACTATAAACTCTCTGAGCCTTAGTTTCTCCATCTCCGAAAGGGAGTATAGCAGTGTCTGCTTCCATGAGTAATGGGTAAGGAGTGAGATATAAAACCTCACTTTTAAGTACTGGCCATTGCTACTGCAAGGGCTCAAACATTAAACTATGTTATTTGGGAAAAGTATACCACATGCACTTGGAGGAAACCATTCCCTGTTCTCATCTTGGCCCTGCACTTAGTAGGTGTTTTTAGTGCAGTTGTGATTTTTGTGCCCTTGTTTACCCTTAGAGTTATGTGATTTTAGTTTCCTCTTTTGTAAAATGGAGGTAACAGGAGAACCTGCTTCAGGGGGCTTGCTCAGGATTACATGAGATAACGCACATCGAGACAATGCAAGGACATCTGATGCATGGCACACGGTGAACATTCAATAACTTAGCTATTATGATGAAAATGATGATGTTTGAATTAGGGGTGGCCTTGCCAAAAGAGAGAAGATTCAACAAATCTGATACTTCTTTTCCTTCCCATTCACTAATCTCTAAACCATAGTTGATACTAAACATGGTGAAGTGTGTACATTTTGTTTATTTTATTGCTGTTCCACTATAAATTATTAATACGCCTCTGTTATTAGGGTTTTGGCACACGAACGGAGGCAGTAATTGGAGAAGCTGTTAGTTATCACAAAGACCTTTCTCACTTACTGTTTTTATAAGCTGCAAGCTCGTGTCTAATTTGGAAGGCCAGGGAGCAGAGCAGCAAGGAAGAAGGCTCAGTGTGGGGCAGGAGTGAAGTCAGTCCTACAGGGAGCGGTTTGATCGTCTGACAGTCTGACTGCTTTTGCCACTGAGGTGCAGGAAGAAGGCAAGGCTCTTCCAAGATTCCATGGGCCAGAGAATCCTGCAATAACCTGCCCCGGGATCTTCCCTCCCCACTTTTCTTTAGTCCCTGTGTGTCTTCTCGCCTGATAGCAGAAGAAGGGGCTCCGAAATGATGATAAGGCAAGGTTGGCTTCTGAGGCTGCTTCTAAAGACAGGCCCACATTGGAGGGCACAGCTCTGGTGTCCTGGACCTCAGCCTCCACAAGCACCAGGAATCACTCCTGAACTATGGAAAACGCGTTCTTCCCCAGAAAAATATTTGAGTCCTTTGATGTGAAGACCTAGTCCTAGGCCGTTTTCATGTACTGAGTTCTCTAATTAGGGATGAGGCACTGTACTGTTGCCAAAAAAATAAATGATCTATGTTTCTTTCACAATTTTCAGATGAGGGGTGCCCGGGTGGCTCAGTTGTTTAAATGTCTACCTTTGGCTCAGGTCATGATCTTAGGGCCCTGGGATGGAGCCCGAGTTAGGCTCCCTGCTCGGCAGAGGGCCTGCTTCTCCTTCTCCCTCTGCTGTCCCTCCCCGCTCATGCTTGCTCTCTCATTCTCTCAAACAAATAAATAAATAAACTAAAAAATAATAATGCTAATTTTCAGATGAAAAAGACGTGACAATGCTCCAGAATTCTCCTATCTGTAAATGTCAAAATTACTAGGTTCTTAGGACAGTTTCCCAGGAGAACAGTTTTCCTGGAATGTCCATCTCCTGTGCCTCTCCTCTCTGGTGTCTCACACCCAGCACGTGCATTCACACTGTGCCCTCCCTCTTTTCAGCATCCTCTCCCTGTGCAACTGATTTTAAAATGTTTTTCCAACCGTCCTTTCTTTTCTGACTTCATTCTCATTGCGCAGGCTTTAAGCTCACCTCGTGTCTGTATTTCTCATCATACCTGACATTTTCTCGTTTGAATTATAAGGGTAATCCATGCAGTTCATGAGTATGTATCCGTGTGCGTGTGTTGAAGGAAATTGGGTCTGCTTTCTGTAGTTTTATAGTGTGATTTTTTTGTTGTTGTTCTTGAGATATCAGCATGGTTCTTTATCAATAAGAATTCCTCGAAAAATTGTGGTGATACTTAATATTCCCTCATATGCACAGAGCAAAATTTACTTAACAACACTGTTAGCCATTTTGATCTTCCCATTTTCCAATATTAAAAATATAAAATATTTCCAATATTCCAATGCTTCTTTTCAAAATCTGTTCACTATATAGGGTCATGAGTAAGAAGATGAGTTTTGGAGTTCCAAAGACCATGTTCCAGATTCTAGTTCGGCCATTTGTTCCCAGGCCTCAGTTTCCTTCTTTGTAAATGGCGATTATAATGGTACTTACCAATAAAATTATGACAGTTTAAAACAGGTTGTATATAATGTACTCATTTATATTTTTTATATTTATACAGAGCTTCACATATTGCAAGTTCTCCTAAATAGTAACTGCAGTTATAATAATCACCATTGTTAATCATGGGCAGTTAGTTTTTTGGGTTTTTTTGTTTTCTTTTTTTTTTTTTTAAGATTTTATTTATTTATTTGACAGAGAGAGAGATCACAAGTAGGCAGAGAGGCAGGCAGAGAGAGAGGAGGAAGCAGGCTCCCCACCAAGCAGAGAGCCTGATGTGTGGCTCGATCCCAGGACCCTGAGATCATGACCCGAGCCAAAGGTAGAGGCTTTAACCCACTGAGCCACCCAGGCGCCCCATCATGGGCAATGTTTTTAGCACAGGTGCTGAAAGTTAGATGGTAGTACAAATACTATGATACCTTTAATAATATTGCCAAATTCTAGAACGATTCTACCAATTTATAGACACATAAATAGTATAAGTATGTATCTAATATCACCCCTTGCCTAAATTAGGTAGTATATTTTTATTATTGTATATCCATGTATACACAAAAATGTTATCTTGTAATTTGCATTTCTTTGATTGTCAGTAGAAATGTCTAGTTTTAAATGTTTAGTTGGCTAATTATATTCCTTTTTTGTAAATTGTTTATTGGGGTCAGTGCCCATTTTTCTTTTGCCTGTGCATCTTTTTTCTAAATCAGCAAGTAATTTGTGTGTCATAAGAATCATTCTTATTATGTATAACTAAAATTTATTGTGATTTCTAACTTGCAGATGAGGAAACATGGGCCAGAGAAGCTAAGTAGTTTGCCTAGTGTGTCAGACGGACCCTTGCCTGGCACAGAGTTAATACACAGTAAACTCTTGCTGTCTTTGTTACTAATCTTTGTATTTCACAGCACCTGGCACAATCCAGCACTTTGCACACAGTAGGGGCAGAATCCATGCGTGGTTAACTTCTGTTGACACCAGCCACCCTCACTTCTCCTCTTTGGTGTACGCAGAAGCCAGCCTTTAATGACCGCCTTGGTCACAGCCACCGTTTCAGCTCAGATGATCAGCATTCCTGAACTTGACTTGATTTTCTCCGTCTGTTTTTTAATGAGACTTTTTGAAAATGCTGTAAAATCAGGTTATTTCCCCCTCACTTCATTTCTAGGTAACAAACCTGAATTTGGCAAGTGGCGTCATAAACAGAAGCAGTGCTTCAACCCCCCCCACCCTTCGGCCTGTCATCAGTCCTAGTGGCCCGACATGGTCAATACAGTCAGACCCCCAAGCTCCTGAGAGCCACTCCACCCCTCCTGGAAGCAGGTATGTGAAGGGTCTTAGAGCCAGTGTTTGGGGCGCAGAGACAGCCTGGGTCTGAGGAGGGCCATTCTCACCTTGAGCTCCCTGCACTGACACCTGGGAGACACGTGCCTTTCCGCCTGTCCCAGTCCTCTGGCACTTGAATGGAGGGCCTTGGTTTACTCTTAAGACAGTTTGCAGGCAAACCAAAGGCAAAGGAAATTTCTGATGCAATTCAGACAGGTTAAAAGAGGAAGAATTCCTACTGTGTTCAATCCTTGCCTGTAGTCCACATTTTCTTGTTTTGACTTTTGACATTCTCCCCTGTCTCCTCATTCTTGTTTATACCTTGTTCTGTGTGTGTCTCATTAACTTTGGACTCTTTTTGTTGAAGGTCATATTTGTTTTTTATATTTGCATCTGGGTTATATAATTAAACTCAAACAGCCTCCCTGGACAATGCTCATTTGGGAAGTGGGAAGGAAATTTCCTTTATGTAGTTGAGCAAAGAGGCAGAGGATAAAATCTAAATAGATTCTGGCCATAACATAAGAAACTTCTGAATTAAAAAAGAAGCCACTGTATTGAATTCTAGTTTCAACCCATATTTTAAGTCTCCTATTTTAAAAAAAATGTAAGAAATGGATTCCCAGGAATCTTGCATTAGTGGCTATTAAAAATGGCTCTGATTGCATCTGTCTCTGAGTTAAGTGAGCTAGAGAGGAATGCGACTGTTACGATGAAGTATTCTGTTCCCTCCAAGTAAAGATAATTGCTCCCTCCAAGTAAAGAAGCTCTGCCACAGATGTCCCAGCGAGTCCCCACCCTGCACCAGCACTTCCAGCCTCCACCAGCCGGCCAGCTCTTAGCATGCTGCCTTGCCTCGTGGTTGCAAGGGGTGACCAAAGACTTAAGGATGAAGGAAATACCTATTTGCCATTGAAGTATCTGTTAGTGTCAGAATTATTACTGAAGGAACTAATTTGGGAAGCAGAGACTCTGCCCAGGAAGCAACATAAACATAAGCACATTACATCATGCTTGAGTACAGTGTCTTTCATACCAGTAATCGTTGTGGTCAGGGGTGAAAAGAATCATCTTAACTGAGAGTTATAAAGAGTTGAAGACTGAGAGGCAGGACTGTTTCAGACAGGACATCCTCCCACGAAGTTCTCTTTGCAGAAGTCTGTCGTTTGGTGATTTACAGTCTACAGAATAACCACATTCCTAAAACATAAGTCGTAAAAAAGAATTCTGTTTATACCGTAGAGCTTTATTTTCCATATAAAATATTTCCAAATATTCCATTTTCATTTTACAGTCAGAGCCTTGTTTCTATGGCAGACACGTTCCCTGCAATCTTAGAGTATATTATCTGCCTGTAGGACAAGGCTGGAACCATTTTCCATACTATAAACAAAATGTCAAAACTCCACATCATGGCTGGGTTCAGAACCTTCTTTGGGTAGCACCTGTTTGGCAGTGCTGGGACCCAGAAAGATGTGGGAATCCGTCCAGGTCAGAGCCCAGACCTAGAGTCCAGCACTGTGAAAGGCCTTCTCCTAGCCAGACTGTGCTTTCCTGAGCAGCAGGAAAATAGCACATTATACCATTGACTTCAGAGCCCCAGCACCAGAAAGTGGCCCACGCAGAGTCCTCGGGCTTTTCCCCTTTCGGGTTAGTTGTACCCAAAGCAGCCCTCTTGTCACCTGCTCTTCAAGCCAAAGGGTCGGTTGTCAGGTCCCACTTCAGTTGAGAGTAGCCCTGAAAACCTTCCTCTGAGCCCAGGTAACCTCTGGTTGCCAGAGCAGCCTGGAGGCACCTTGTGGAATTCCCAGAGGTGTCTACCCAAAAGCAGCGCTAAGTGAATTCTCCAAGGTTCTACCAGAGCTGGCTGTGATGTGGGCCACAGCCAGACCTCCAACAGGCATTCTACACAGTACCGTACCCCAATTTCCATTTTTACCTGGTAAGTCACTGTTTTGTGGATGGGCTCTTGTCCCTCGCTTAGTAGTAAGGGTGACTAAGCCCAGTGAATAGAGGATTAACAGCTTAGAGATCTGAGTTTTATTACTGGTTTTGACACTAAGTGACCCTAAATTATTCATTGAATCTTTTTATGGGGTAAGCATACTTACGTATAAACCGACCTGTTTTGAGAGCTTTTAAATCGCCCCTATGGCACTTTGATCTCCCTGGAAGTGGCCGCTACGTAAATAAGAGGTGCTCTTACTAGTTCATCTGTCATAGCAACAGTGGATTGCGGCGCTGATAAGCTCTGATAATTCACTAAACGAGGGGCTGCCCCGTCAACGGAGACAAGATGTAAAGAGAATCCTTTGCTGGCTGTGCTTTTCATCTGCATGTTGGAGGATTCAGTGACTTGGTAGCCACAGGAATGAAAACTGGTGACTCACAAGAACTCGGCAAATCGTGTTATTTTTCATTTCCCTGTGGTGTTGCTATTGTTCTCGATTTTATGGATCACACACGTTTTCACCAGACAATCTTGTTCTTCCCCCGCTGTTTTGAAACCACCCCAAACGCAGCCTCAGGGCTGTCGTCTCCCATTGGGTCAGTGTGAGCTCAGCCCGGCTCCTCAAATCCCTTGGTTCCTCTGGTCTGTCTGGAGTCCGTATTCAAGCTTTGTTGTGGGAGAGGAAAGCAGAGAGCCCACGACTTGCCCAGACAGTCTGAGGCCTGGCCATGTAGCTTGCAGTTCCCTAGACGCTCTGGAGCTGGACTTGGCCAGCCATTCCTCTGTTGTTACTTTTCAGAGGTAATAAGTGAGATTAATTGCAGGCCATTCTCCAGAAGAGAAAGTAGTCAGGGCCAAAATCAGTCACATGTTGAGAAGCCTGAGGTGTACCTCTAAGCGAGGCCGATTCAGAATTCTACAATAGGGCCTCCGGGATGCAGGTACTAAGTGTTCCTGACCTCCTTCTTAAAGGGGTCAGTTTCGCTTCCCAGATGCAGATACCTGGGTATCTAAGCTTTTCTTCAGCCAATGAGATGGCGGGTATTTTTCAGGTAGCCTTTTGAGTGTACGTTTTCTGGGCCCAGGGGGTGTTGTTAGAGGCTCGAAGCCATAAGCAGAGGCATCTCCCCAGGACTGCCAGCCTTGCCTGGAGTTGGGCAGAGTGTTTTCTAGGTGAGGAGCACTCAGTGGGCTCACAGTGCATCTTTCTTTCTATTTTTTTTTTTTTTAAGATTTTATTTATTAGACAGAGGTCACAAGTAGACAGAGAGGCAGACAGTGCGGGGTGGCGGGGGGAAGCAGACTCCCTGCTGAGCAGAGAGCCCGATGCGGGGCTCGATCCCAGGACCCTGGGATCATGACCTGAGCCGAAGGTGGAGGCTTTAACCCACTGAGCCACCCAGGCGCCCCACAGTGCATCTTTCTTTGTGAGACCTGGAAGGGTTACTGTAAAGTCTTGGCTGCTGCTTGGAATGATTTGGGAAGGACAGGGCCTCAGACGGCTTGGCAGGAACCTGAGGCCCTGTTTTTTTCCAGTCCAACCCTTCCTTGTGGATCGAGCTGTCAGGGAATCCCACGAATGTCTGGCTTCTGCCCCTTTGTATGTTTTTCCAGTATTTGTCATTGAATTATTTTTATCCATCTCTGGCTTTTTCACACATGCAACCTGGGGATTTGTCTGTTCCTCGATATTAAAGGTGGGGGAGGTTGAAAGCAAAGCCATGAGTTTGTGCCTCCTTTTTGCGACTGGGCAAGACCTCATGGGCTTAGGGTGCTCGGCCTGGCTAGCCCCCACTGTAGAGAATGGCACAGGGGAATGGGGTACAATGAAGTGCCCAATCTTGGAAATTGGGGTATATGTCACATTGCTCTGTCCCTCTGTCCTCTCACTCTCTGGAGCTAAATTAGAGAGTCTGATACCCTACTTTACATAATTTTTAAGAACAAGTTTTTCAGAGATTTTGATTCTAGTTTAGCTAATACTTTTCTCCCTTCTTTATCTCTTATAAATGTTGCTGGAGAGTCAAGTCTCTTTTCCATTTTTCATTCTTAATCCTCAGAAATACCAAGTTTGTTGTTGTTGTTTTTAAAGTCCCATTCATGTTCTCCATGTCAGGCATTCGATTAGATGCTGGGGAGTCACGATAAATAAAACATGATAATGCCTGATCTCACAGAGCTTACAGTCTGTGATGTATCTTTCACATTCTCCGCGAGGGTAGTTCTGGGCGCTGGGTTGGTCTAAAAGATTTGGAAGACGTGTTTGTTTGTTTGTTTGTTTGTTTGTTTGTTTGTTTTTATCACTAAGAGGTTACTACCTAGCAGAGAAGAGGAGCCATAGACACATGAAACAATTACAGAGTAGTGTCCAGTGGCATAGAGCAAAGATTTAAATTTTACAGCACAGGCAATTAGAAGAAAAGATATCAAAAAGAGTGTATGAGGTTTTAATCTGTCACCTGCTACAACATAAGTGAACCTCGAGAACATTGTGATAAGTGAAATAAGCTGATCACAAAAGGACAAATACTGTATCATTCCATTCATATGAAGTGTCTAGGTAAGTTAGAAATGTAGGTTGCCAGGGGCTGCAGGGAGAGGGGGAAGGAATTAGCATTTAATACCTACAGTTTCAGTTTTGCAAGATAAAAAAGTTTCAGAGATCTGTTGCACAACCATGTATATATATTGAATTGTATACACAGAAGTCGTTAGATGGTACATTTAAACATAGGGGTTTTTTACTTCAATGAAAAAGAGTATTGTAAGGGCTTAAAAGAGAGCACGACAATTCCACAAAAGTTGTACTTAGTGACTAAAATGGCAAAGTTTTGCTCCTGTCCTCTGCCTCTCTGTAGGGGGTATTATCTTGAGCCTAGTCCTTGAAATGCTTCTGTTTCTTTAAGAGTGTGTTAACTTTATAGGAGAGGGTGCCGTTGTCCCCTATGAAGAAGGTGGCATGGTGTAATAGAAAGAGAAGGAGCCGTTGAGTTGGAGGGGCCTGGATGCGCCTCACTAAGTATGTAACCACCGGCAAGTTACGTTGCTTCTCTGGGCCACAATTTTCCCATCTGCTTAGATATGCAAGTAATACCTACCTCCTTAAGTTGTTTTAAGATTTAATTGAGTACTGTATATGAAAGGAGCCTGTGTACTGTCTGGTTTTGGTGTAGGTTGTCGATAACGTTTCGTTTTCTTCCCCCAAAGGAGTAAAGTTAAAATTGGATTTGCTTGGGATATGGTGTTGCTACACACTTGGGTTAGTATCTTGTACAGAGGGGACTGGCCGTCACCTACAGGTGGTGTGCTCCTCGGGCTGGAGTACAGAGCTGTGCCCTTTGCAGCTGAGGAAGGGAAAGCACAGA